CTTCAGAAGTAACTTAAGAAACTGAAATTAAGCTATTCATGCTGGAATCTCTAAAAATATTAGCCATACCACCTTGTCAAAATGGAAGATTCCTACTTTAAGTCTTATGCAGAAGAGAACTTGTTTCACAAGACATTTCCCCTTCTATCTGCGATGGGGCCACTGGGTCAGTACTGGTTTGGAAAAAAGTTTCCACATACCAGTTCACTGACATTTTCTGTTGTGAGAAGAATAAACTTGGGTCCTGTGCTCATCTCAGAACAGTCATTTTCATTTTTACTGGTTTACTTTTAAAACTTTCCCATGCATAGTATCTAATTATGGTACATTACAGAAATCTGTATTTAAATGGTAACAGTGCACAATGCTGAAAGGGACTGTTGGTAAATTGCTTATTCTCTTTGATGATTAAGCCAGTAATTATTGCATTAGCATCCTAAACCACACTTGTCTGCTGATATATCTCCTCCTAAGGCAATCCCATGAGATGTGATGGCCTAAGTAGAAAGGGTATGGCACTTGAAAAAGGGAAGGGCAAAGAACATGTGGGGGAAAGAGATAAGCAGAGGTTGCTTTCTCCCGTGTCTGCTTCAGTGTGACTGAGGATAGTACTGGCACGTGGTACGTAAAAAAAGGATTTTTCTGCCTTAGAAATTTAAAAATAGACCTTTCCACTACTGGCTATGGAAGACCCTATGGCACTTGCTGCCAGGACTCATCACTGAGGCTATATTCACACAGTAATCAAAGCAAGTAATTTTGTTTGGTTGAGTAAGATGGCCTTTCAGCTTCCACACCACTGTGGCATTCAGATGCCTATGCTGTTCTGTGTTCCTGTCCTGAAGTGTTTGGAAACACTGCTGGATGCCTTTTATGAGCTGTCTTCCACCTCCCCCTCACCTGAGGTAAATCTTCTGGTGCCTTTATACTGCATTTTTTTTGAGAAGGAACATTTTATGATCCTCCTAAAAGCAAAGGCATAAAACAAGTGTAAGGTATTACTTTGTATCTTCAGGAGCTTTTGGCTTTAAATGATAAAATTCCAGGAAATAAGTTATTTGGAACAGTTTGCTCACTGGAAAACAGAAGGACATCAGATCCCACACTCCTGCAGGTGCTGTGTTAGTTTCCCATCAATTTCCTGAAATGATGCACTTACAGACCCATTTCAGTGGCTATTTCAAGCCCAGGGACATTTTTTCCACTCTTCCTGGATTCTAAGAGGTACTTTTTTTACCTGTACTTTTTAGCAAGAAATGAGTATTTTTTTTCTTTTTAAGGAAATATTTTTCATGGAATTGACAGCTTCTTGGATTGTATCTGAGTATGGATCAGGTTTTGAGACCACTATTGTGCAGATGAAGTGTCATCCTCGCATTTTTAAAGGTATAAAACTGCCTGATGTTGGTTTTGAGCAAGTGGCTAGATAAAAAAAAAACCTTCTATAAGCTTTTCTGAGTGGAGACCATTTCATTACTACAGAAAATCAAGGAACCTGTTCACTCTGAAAATTTGTTAGTAAAACTCTCCAGTTTCCTAACAAACGTGCTAGGAAAAAAAATGTAGTTCTAAAACATAAAGGAATGTTTGAATCTCCAGGGTAGGTAGGTGAAAAGCACCATCAGCTGAAGGTTTCTAAGCAGACCACAGACTGCAGACTGCAGAGGTAGTAAAACAGTGTGAACAAAAAAAATAAATCTTGGTGGGAGGAGTGGTGTGTGCTTTCTCTTGGGCACACTTTGAAATCGTATGTTCTAAAGCAAAGAAAATTGCTCCTCAGACATACCTTGATGAACCAGATTGAAAATTGCCTCGGGCTGGAGTCCAGTGAAACAACTACCCTCTGTGCCCCCACTTTACATCAATAACTATGTCATGTAGGTACATAAAGAAATAACATCAAGGGGGAAGGTGCTAGTCATTTTAAAAAGAACTTTAAAATTTTAAATCCATGTTTAAATCCATGTTTTTCCTGTATTCTTTCTTCACTTTCTCCTTCCCTGCTATGCAGCTACTATCTTTTTTTTTTTTTTTGTCTAACTAAATTAAGCAATTCATCACTTTTTCTATTCCTCAGTCCACATGTAACATTACATTGAGTGCATGGAAGAGCGACAGTGCTACCCTTTTTCTCAAAGCTGGAAAAGAGGCTACAGCTGCAAGTTCCTTGGTAAGCAATGGGGATTGCTTGGCTGATGCATGGCCAGATGTGGACAGTGAGTCAGGCAATGCAGTTGGATTTAACCATCCTCCCAATGCATGCACTGGCAGTAGACCTGTTGTTTTAGAGAACAGGTCTCAGACACTCTGCTGGAGTAGAGGCCAGCAGGAAATTGGACAGAGGCATTGGTTTTGTATAGCAAGTACCCAAACAACAAGTTGGCAAGTATCCAGCATGGGTAAAAAAACACTGCAAAGACCTTCATAAACGTTTCCATCTTCTTATTTTGTCTGTCTGGTCCAGAAAACAATGACAGTGGATAAAAAGAGTTTGGTTTGAAGACAAGAAACTAAAAGACAAAAATATTTTTGTAGGGCAAAAAGTCCACTCACTATGGAATGCCTTTCCATCCACTGGCCAATTCACTTCTAAAAGTCTCGAAGCAATTCAGCTTCCATTACTTCTCTTGTGGGAACTGTGCCTGTTCTAATGAATGTCATTGCCTATAAGTTTTTCCTGGTGTAGGTTATGCTTACGTTTCTCATGTGATCTTTCCAAAGAATGATTCTTTCTCCTGTACATGCTACATCCTTCTAATATATAGAGACAGTTTGGTTTTTTTCCTTTTATCATTGCATGACTAAACATGTAAGTATGTGGTTTAAAAAAATCCTTTAAGTCTGTTCTGCATTAATTAATTTTATTAATCTTTTCTGAGTTTCTTCAAAGTCTTCAGTCAGTATTTTTACAGAGGAAAACACCAGACTTAAGCACTACTCAGGTGCAGAACAATACATTGCTATATATCTAACATGTCACAACAGGATATAGTCAAAATCCACTACTGTTTACAACCTCATCCTTCTGGAAGTGCTGGGAGCCATCTCGAAGAAGGAACCAAGTACCTTCAGTCTCCTATTAAAGGATTCTCAGCTCTATCTCTAAGGAAGTCAGAGCCTTGCAGGAGTTGACTTTAGAAATATGCCCAGCATCCTCTAGTCAGATGTAAATTACATATCCTCTCAAATTGAGGTTCTGCTCTTGATTTTTTTTTTTTTCCACAAAACTGACTTTAAAACTCACTAATTTCAGCTCAGATAGTTCCTCAAACACTCTTGCTACCTACTGACTGTCACTCAGCCCAGCATTTAAAGAGACACCAAATACCCAACTCTCCTAATTCTGTCACTGTGAAAGACAAAGTAACCTTTGGCATTCTAATTATTTTATAATTCCTTTGACTGTCATTTATTCATTGTGGAAAGCATATGCATAACTCCCCCATGCCTAGTGTTGGATAAAGTACAATACTGAATGGTAGCATTACAAATTTGCAGAAACAAATAAGCAAAGGTAGCCCATTTAAAAGCCACACTATGCCAGTTCCTCAGAAATGCTCCCACCTCAATCTGCTGCAGCAGTATGAGCTTTAGAATGCAAGGTAAAAAATCCCTGACTGTGAATCCTCTGGATCATCAGACCAAATAAAACGCCTTCTCGTATAGAGGCTCTTCAAGTCAGATCTAGAGGAGGATGCGAGCATTAAACCCCTCTCAAGGCTAGAATTGGCAACCTCACTCCCTGCAGGACATGGGAGAAATGTGGGGCAAAAGAGCCGCATGACTCAAGCCCTATGCACTGGGCAGGAGCCCTTTGACAAGCAGTTGGCAGGCAATGCAAATTGAAGACTGTGACTAAACTCTCGCGTGCTCTGCAGCACTCAGATTCTGTTCCAGGCCCTCAGGAATGTTCTTTGTTTCTTTCCTTTTTTTTTCTTTAATACAGAGACTGTAAAGAAGAAAGAATTTATATTTTACAGTTATTGGGAAGGAGGAAAACCTAGTGCCTTTCAAGTGAGTGCTGCAACCTCAGCTTGTTGTGCTATTGTCTCCCATTTTTCTCCTATTACTTAACCTAGAGGAACTACTTCAAAAGATCAGTTGAGTCATCTGCTCATGATCTGTGATGTTGGATTTGGGTCTCCCCAGTCTGGCAACGGCATTGGAATCTGCCTCTCCCATTTCACGGGAAAATGCTTCAGCCAATCTGGGATAACAGCATAAACAATGATGACACCACTAATACCATCCCATCTGTGAATGACTTTAAAAAGGAAAATAGTGTGTTCTTTCAGATTTTTCAAAAAGCAATTATAAACCCTGCTCTCAGGTGAGGGCTCTAAGATCTGGATTAAAACAGGCAGAGGTGCTTTGGCTCATCCTAGATAAGATGACAGACTAGCAGAGGAGAGAGATATGACTGTGGCTGTGTATTTGTGCCTGGCATTTCCTATCATCTCTCTATAGGAAATGTCCCTCTCAGCATGTGAGATTTTCTGATAAACATTTTGAGGTGTATAATTCTCAGCAGGCAGCACATGAGAAGTCTTAATGTTTAACTTACGAGTTTTATATTCTGCTCTAGTGACAAAACTCCTAAAAGCAAGCTATTAAAAACCAAGGTGTTCTTACTGGATGTAGTCACAGCCTACAAGTTTCTCTTGCTGATCTACTCCAGAAAATAGCAGTCACAGCAAAAAAGTGCAGCAACAAACATTCTTTGTAAGCAGGTTTTCTGTACTTAAAGCCATTCTGCATGCTAAGTATGTTATCTGTCTTTTAGAAACCTTATTAGAGTAATACATAAAAACTTACAGAAAAATCTCTCTTTACCAGTCCTCCATGGAAAACACTCTTCCTACTACTTTTGTAGTAGTTTCTCCTCGCCTTGTATTTAAATTGCGTAGTAGTCAATCTGCCATAAATTGTTGCTCAGCATTGATATACAACATTTCTACTGGAGGTGACAGAGTATTTAATAATAGACATTTTTTGCTCACCTCATCAAGGTTATGCCTCTTACTTTTAATATGCATTTGAAATACGTCTTCTAATGCCCTTAAAAAAGAATAGAAAGGAACATCAGTGCAAAAAAAACCCAAACGACTGTTTGAAGGCCATATACTTCTAAATGAAAATGCCACTCAACTTGTCTTTCCGATCACTTGAAATACATCCCAGCTTTTCGTTTTTGCTCCATCCCCTCCCTGTCCCTAATGTTACCTGCAAACGGATTTTAAAAATAAAACCTTACACATTTTAAGGTTGTTGAATATTTTCATTCCAAGTGCATGCAGTTTGACAGG